AAAAGAAGTTATAAGACCTTCAAGTAGTCCATGGGGATCACCTGTAGTTTTGGTGAAGAAGTCCGATGGAAGTTATAGGTTTTGCATAGATTATAGAAGAGTGAATGCAGTCACTAGGAAGGATGTATATCCCTTGCCTAGAATAGATGAGATGTTAGAAGTGTTTCAGAAAGCGAAGTATTTTTCTGTCATGGATGTATTAACAGATTATCGGAATGTACCTGTATGTGAAGAGGATAAAGAGAAAACTGCATTTGTAACGTCGGAAGGATTATATGAGTTTAATTGTCTCCCGTTTGGATTGTGCAATGGTCCTAGTACATTTCAGAAATAAATGGATTTGGTTTTATCAGGAATACAGTGGAAAATGGCGTTGGCATATATTGATGATATTATAGTTTTCTCAAATACATTTGAAGAGCATATTGAAAGATTGGAGGAAGTATTCAGAAGATTAAGGGGAGCAAATTTAAGATTGAAGAGGAGAAAGTGTTCGATTTTCAAAAGTGAAGTGGAATTTCTCGGACATATTATATCATCAGAAGGAGTGAAAGCAGATCCAAAGAAAGTAGAAACTGTGCGCAACTTAACTTTCCAAGACCAACTTCCATAAGATTTTTCAGAGCATTCCTTGGACTGGCCTCATATTACCGCAAATTTATTCCTAACTTTGCGAAAATTGCAGATCCCTTAAAAAAACTTTTATATAAGGAGACATTATTTTCCTGGGATCAGAAGTGTGAAGAAGCTTTTCAAAAATTGAAAGAGTTGAAGACTATTGCTCCATCGTTGTGTTTTCCTGATTTTGAAAAACCATTCAAACTCAGTACTGATGCCAGTGATCAAGGTTTGGGAGCAGTTCTTTCACAAGAAATTGATGTTGGAGAACGTCCTATTGCATATGCCAGTAGAAGTTTGAAGAAAAGTGAATTAAACTATCCTACCATTGAAAAGGAAGCTTTTGTTGTTGTGTGGGGAATTGGAATATTTAGACAGTATTTATTTGGACTTAAATTCACTGTCATTTCAGATCATAATCCATTGCGTTGGCTTATGGGGATAAAGAATCCAAGTGAAAGATTAGCAAGATGGGCTTTAGCTATCCAGGAGTATGATTTTGAAATTCAATATTAACCTGGTAAGAAACATGGAAATGCTGATGGATTGTCGAGATGTGGGAGTGAAGAATTAAGAATAATGACCACAAAAACTTCAATTAAAGAGTATAAGTGAAATGCCAATGAAGGATCCAAAGTTACGAGATATTATTGACTACCCGAAAGATAATAAACTTTCAACAGACGAGGAGAGAGCTAGACGAGTTATGGCTTCTGTTTCATTTTATGAGCTAGTGGATGATGTGCTTTATCATATTTGGGCACCAGATGTTAAAGGAAAGCGTAAAGAAGTTAGAAGGAGATTAGTTATTCCAAGGACACTGATTGATGAAGTTTTAACGTGGTGTCACAATGACCATACAGCAGGACACCTGGCATTCCATAAAACCTATTATAAAATTCGATCGAAATTCTTTTGGGAAGGAATGTATAAAGACATAGATTTCTGGTGCAAAACATGCCTAAACTGTGCAAGAAGAAAAACACCTAAAGGGAGAAAACGAGTTCCAATGTTACCCATACCTGTTGATGGACCATTTGACAGAGTTGCGGTTGATGTTTTAGGACCATTACTACCAAGTTTGAAAGGCAATCGTTATATAGTAGTGTTTTCAGATTACTTGACAAGATGGGTAGAAGCATTTCCAGTATCAAATGCCGATGAGAAAACCACAGCAAAACTGTTCGTTGAAGAAATTATTTGTCGACATTCAGCTCCTCGTATATTACTTTCTGAAAGAGGACGAAACTTCACTTCGAGTTTGATGAAGGAAGTATGTGATTTAGTAAATACAAAGAAAATATTTACAACTGCTTACCATCCTCAGTGCGATGGATTGGTAGAGAAATTCAATGACACTTTAACAACTATGTTGTCAATGTTTGTGAATGATCATCAGCGAGACTGGGATGTTTTTATTCCATATGTGTCATTTGCCTATAGGACAAGTATACAGGAAACTATTCAGGAAACACCATTTTATTTAGTTTATGGAAGGGATGCACGATTACCAGTTGATGTGGCATTATCTGAACCAATTCGTAGATATACTGATGTGGACAACTACAAAAATGTTATAATACATCGATTAAACGAGGCCTTCACCTTAGTGAAAAGTAACATAGAACTTGCCCAACAAAAGCAAAAACAACATCAGGACAAGAATGCGAAAGAGCCAGAATTTAGTATTGGAGAAAGAGTATGAATTTACTTGCCTGTGACAAAACAAGGTCTTACTCACAAATTAATTCATCCTTGGAATGGACCACATCGCATAATAGAAAAAAAACCGAACCTGTGAATTTTAAAGTTGAAAGTTGTGATAACAAAAGAAGACAGCAGATTGTGCATACAAACAGAATGAAGGCATTTGTTGATCCTGAAGATTTACCACCTAAACTGCGATTTAATGAAGACCATTCTGACAACGAAGTTGAGAATGAAGAGAATTATCCAAGTGATGAAAATAATTCAGAATTAGAAAATGCACAAAGAACGGTGTTAGAACCTGAAATAGTAGAAGTTTGTGATAAGTTATGGTCCAGGAATGATAAAGGGAGAGCAGAAGCTAAATATTTTGTGAAATATAAAAACGATGAAAAAGAAAGTACATGGGTGGATTCTTCACTAGTTCCAGGAAATTTAATCGAGGAATTTGAAAGAAATTATAAAGGTCGAGGTGCTGCATACAGACAAAGAAGAAAATAAATTGGTGACACAGTGAATAAGTGTGCGAATTATTAGGATTGTGATTTTCATGTGAAATTGTGAGTATTGTTAGTTCAGAAGATGGGGATAATGGTGATTCAGATAAATTTGACAGGAACCGTGACTTGCGTAATGTACATTAAGATGGTCAGTGCTCCAAAACCATATGGATGGCTCCAAGTTTCATTGTGTGGTGCTCCCAAAACACATAAATTTTGGAATTTGGCATTTGTCAGCCCAGGTCTATATATTAAACACTGGAAAGAAAACAACTTAAACTGAAATTTACTTCCTTTGAGAACATTCAACTTATTACATGTATTATTATGAATTATTCCAAGAACTATTGTTCACTTTGTAACAGAGAATTTAGACATAGACGGAATTTGTACAGACATAACAGAGATGGTTATTCAAATGGAAATTACGATCATCAGTGTCCTGTTACGACGTGTGGTAAAGTTTTCGGAAGAAAATATGCTCTAACCCAGCACATGAAAGGTACCATAGTTATTGTGATGAGCCTGAGCCAGTGTTTGTAACCATCAAGAACGACATGTACTCCGACATTTCAGATGAAGAAGAAGAGAGCTTTGGAGAATTCTTCACAAATTATTATTCTCCTGTGAGCAACATATCATTAACATCATTAGAGGAAACAATGTAAACTCTAATAAATCCAGAGGAAGACGAGCCCCAGAACCATGAAGTGAATCCTAACTATGAGGAAGAAGATGTGTCTGACCTTGAAGACCCTGAAAGTTCAGATGACCTTGAGCGGGATGAAGAAGCCGAAGGACCAGATGACGACTTCAACCCCACCAAGACAGTGGAATTGATGTGTATAAACTTAACGTTAAAACGATACCAACATACCTATGCAGATGGACATCAATCTATCGAAAGAGAGACTGGAATAAGTTATAGTAAAGGATTAATACCAGAAGAAATTGACTTTTCTGAAATTGCGACGAATATCATCAATGAAGCGCCAGAACATTTGAACAATTTGAGAAATCGTTTCGTGTCCGCTGATTTTTTGTAATTTCTCTCGTACTTCCTGTTGATGTGCCTTTGGACTCAATGACTTATTTTGGACTTGATAAATTATTCGCTTTGGATTAATATTTTCTATGAACAGTTTAACTTATAATTTGTGATACTATTGACAGCTAAATACAGTTTTATGAACAGTCAAATATTATTTTTTTAAATTGTATAATTGATGTTACACTGTGTTGATATATGTTTAGTGGTTCATCTATTGTGAAATGTTAGGGTTTGTTACTTAAATAGGTGATGAAGAGATGCTCATGGGAAGATAATGATTTAAAATAATCAATGAAGTTTAGATTTTACAATGGATTTTAAGGTGTATAGATATGTTTTAGTAGGTTAGTTCTTTTTGATAAAAGTTTCCATAATGTATTTAGAAGACATGTTGTAGTTTTAGTGTTAATGTAATAGTAGTTGTAAACTGAAGACAGTTACTTAAAAAGGGGAAGGAATGATGAGTAGTAATTTTAGGCTCAAAAGTAATGAAGTGGTTTATGATTAAATGTCCAGAGTTACAGGAATTTGGATGCATTGCCCAGACTAGTCAAGCAGTGTTGGGGTAATTAAGAGTAGAGCAGTGTCTAGTGTGGTCAGGAATAATGAGTCTTTAATGAGTGGAGCAATGGGAGCTATTGTTCGTAGAATCGGGAGCCGTGTATTGAGTTAAGGTCAAGCTAGGTTATGACAGTTTGATAAGTATTTGATAAAGATATACGTAGAGTTGGAGTTAGTTTATTAATAGGATGGAGCTAATGTTTTAGATAATCATCTATTGGAGCTAAGATTCGTATATAATAAGTGTGACATTTTTAAGAAGGGGGAGTGCTTTTCTTGGATTTAGACAGTACATATGCTAGCATAAATGTAACATCTTTCGTTTTGTATTGTGTCTCCTCATTGTATATATTTAAAGAAATTAGTGCACTGTTTACTGACTTTTTATTGGATTTAGCTTTAAAAGAATTACAAGGATTTATTAACCAAAGATATCTTAATTACAATCGGATATATACACAGTGGAATTAAAACGTTATAATTGCTCTGTCACCTCCGTGACATTTCAATGCAAATTTTTTCATCTCGTCGATAAAGAAGAGTCGGATTAAAAATAATATAAACGTAAATCAAAGTAAGGAAGGTTCTGTATCGGAAGTCATCATACAGTTTGTATGCTGACTTCAAAATAATTAAACTTCCCTGAAAACTTTAACTGAACAACAGCTGAAAAGTAAGAATGGGCGTGTTGAAGATTGTGTTGCTTGTTTTCATTTTTGGCTTTATTGTCGGTAAGTAGAAAAAAAATAGGTAAGTTAAAAATATTATAATAAAGGGGAATCCTTTGACTTAGATTTTTTTTCCATTCCGGGCAATTAATCTATCATAGAAGATAAATACATTAAATTCAGTTAAAACTTTTTTTTAACGTACGAAGTTCATATTTATAATAATGCATAACAAAGTTGTGTGCATAAATAGGATGCAAGTATTTGTACAAATGAATTAGGACTCATCTGCGAAAAACAAATTGAAGGGTTTATTCTCTTTCTAAAATAGCGATATTTAAGGTTTTTTTTAATCTTCTATATACATGTATTGCGTCTTTATTACAGAAATACACAATTATTTTTATGCTACATGTATGCTGGCATATTACTTCATAAGCTTAAGGTAAATAGAGAAAAATACCTTTTGCAGGTTGTCATTTCATGTTTTTTTAAATGAAAAAAACCCAATAATTTTAGCAAATCAACACCTAATTGAAATAAACAAATGAGAAAATAGACAAACGAAAATGGAAACAACTGAAAAATGTCAACAAGCAACCAATTATATCACATCGTCGCAAGCCACGGGTTTTGTATCCATATTCTATTTCCACAAAATAGAATGGACACAAAACCTGTGGCTTGCGACGATGGCTTCGAAATATAATGCATTGAAGAAATAACATGTAAATGATACGTTTTCAAGTGTAAATTAAATAAACTTCCGGTCGGTTTTCACCATGTAGGGACTGGGTTTCCTCCAATCCATCTGCAGCTGGAATACAATTAACCGACTGTTCAAGACGAACAAGTACAGGATAGGCCGGTGTAGATCGGTCAAATATTAAACGTTCAAACATAATAATGGAAACGCCTTGTATATATTCTACTAAATAAATAAGCAACTTCCTGTTTTTGAAATAACCAAAGCTTATAAAATTAATACACTCTTGCCATTGTGTGCTGTGGGACAGAATTATGATATATAATTTCTGAAAGACCATTCGATCAATCCTGCACAGTAAATTAAAATCAATTATTTTATAATGAAGTATACAGTAAAATAACAGGCCATTTTCAGATTTGTTTTGAACTTTGAAATTTATACGTAAAATGAAAAATGATATGAGTCATGATTTCTATGGAAACACTTTAACTCAAGTTAGAAGTAAATCATATTGAACTTCATTATCTCGAACTCTGATCAAATGCCATGATCATTAGATATGTCAAGGTGATTTGAAATTCGAACAAAACGTTTTCTTTACGCAATTTACCCTCAATATTACGAATCTTTGGATATGTCCCTTTTTTTTAATTTTTGGTCCCATCGAGTTCGAGATGACTATATTTAATGTTCGATTTTCTTTCTTCAGCATTAAACTCGGTCGAGGCATACGTATGTTACAGTGACAGTCAATGTTCTTCGAACTACAAATGCTGTACCGGAACTGCGTGGTGTTGTCAGAATGGGTACATCTGTACCGGCACCGCTACCTGTCTCAGTGTTGGGTATGCACGAGTCTGAATTTATGAAAACAAAGTTTTACTTAAAATACATGTTTATAGTGTAATGAAAGTTTTCCATCACGAAATTAGAAAACGTTTCGGGGGTTTGGTTGGATGGGGGCTAAACGTGGACCGAAAATATTTTCAAACTCATATGGGAAACAGTGTGAAGTAGATAGAAGGCATTATCATTTTATCCTCTGTTGTGTATAACTATTCATGCTTTTTAATAGAAAATTGACTCAACGCTTGTAACAGCAACTAGTAAATTGTGTAGATTTTGTTTTCTTTTTAAAATATACATTTATATTATCCAAGATATGAAAGGTGATGTTTTGTTGAGATTTATAATTTTTGTCAATGTCTTATTTTTTAAGAAACAAAGGACAACGTCATTTTTTTTTCTTGACTTACTAGTTCTCCATCTGCATTGTGTTTTGTTATTCTGTATATAACAAAATATAAATATATAGCTCAACAGAAGATTATCAAATGAATGCAACCGATTTAGTCGTCTGGTATCCTTCCCACAATTCTGTTCGAGAACTCTCTGCATACAATGCCGTCCGTGCATTCTCTACTTTAAAGAAGAATGAAATATGTGAAAATAGCGAACAGTATAAATTCAATTTCAAAGTCCATTTAAAACAATTCGAATTGGGAGCTGAGCAAACACAGACATCCAAAAACAAAAGGCGGGATCAGGTGCCATGGAGAAGTAAGCATCCCCTGTCGACCGGTTACATAAGTCGATTGCTCCTGGTTTTAAAAAAAAAGAGTACACGAACGGAATTGTGGGAAGGGTATCAGATTTTGTTTTATACGTTGTGACAGGGTGATCGTCGGTCCTGTTATTGTCGTCGTGATTGCCATCATCGGATGTGTCGTCGGCGCCATCTATTGTTTAAGTAAGTGTTTGTTGACTGCGCCTCGCAAGCGTAGAATAAAAGATTGTATTTCATGCCAAAAAGGCTAAATGAATTTGTTCAAATCTTTTTAAAATTCAAATCATTGAAACTTTTTAAATTTTTTTTATTGGATAATGTAAAGGGTCGCATTGCATATTGATTTGTAGGCAAGAACAATAAATAAAACTCTGATCATTTCAACTCAATTGTAACTTAATTCATATAACAAAGTGTAACCATATGAACACGTGTGATGTCTCTTTAGGGCGAATGATTAATCCGTCCCCGGACAAAAAATCAGATGATATCCTCTTCTTCTGAGAAATGACATGGGTTCTGAGAGCCCTAACATAAAAATCATCTACTCACTAAAATAAACCATGTTTTTAAATTTCATTTTTTAAGGAAGAAAACGGCAGACAGCCGGCGTTGTCTACATTCAACAAGGTGCTACACCTCAACCAGTAGTGGCACCTAAATTTTAATTAATCAGTCTAGCTACGGACAATTTCCAGGATACGGACAACACAATGTTACGGACAACCACAGAAAATAGAAGATTGTAGACAGCCACAGATTGAAGATCAGCCATTTATCCATGAGCATTCACATTAACTCATAAACAGAGAGAAGGGGGGGGGGTTAATATTGAGGCTTGAACATTTGCTTTAATTGAGTTATATGATTTCTTATTATCTTTATATGTTCTCCTTACTACAATGTACTTGTACTGCATTTAACTTTTTATATATTGTTAAAAAAAATCTGCAATATTTTTGATAATTGTGAAATGTACGTTTTTAAATATGTTTTATTTGTTTCTGCTTTCTCAAATTACAGCAATAAAGTAATTTAAAAAGTTTGTACCAGTCAAAACTGTACATTGTAGCTCAATCAACGCTTTGAATTTTTTTTTCTTTTGAGGGGTCAATCTATCAGATCAATGTGGAGAAAACAGTGCCTTTTCTTAAAATTACCAAACATATAGGCACGTATATACATGCTGCATGCTTCAAATTCACTGTGTCACATGTACAGTGGACCTTCTGATATCCGGACGCCAGATATCCAGATGCTTCAGTATCCGTACGATTTTTCATCAGAACAGAATTTTTAAATGATATATTGTCTTGCTTAACTGGTGATTCAGGTATCCGGACACTTCACATATCCGGACAAATTGACTAGGAACCAAAGCGTCCGGATAAATGAGGCTCCACTGTATTAGATTTTTTTAATGAATGGTAGACCTTACCTTATACATGTAGCTAACCATCGGCAATCAAAATACCAGCTCCAGCGTTTATTTTAAGTCAAATGACAGAGTTACAAATCTGCTAGTTACAAAAGCTAATGTGAAAATTGTAATATGGCGACCAAGGGACAAATTATGAGTATTTTGGAAACTATCGGTATAACGGGCATGATTGGCAGCTAGGAACCACCCCCCCCCCCCCCCCTTCAGTTGGTCAATTTATACATGGCCGCAGGAACCGCGGGACCAATAATTTTCCGATATATGGAATACTATAGAAAACTTATATAATTAGCTATTATATACAACTGTACTTGTGTATTTGTGCCCCCTCAATAAATACATCTGATGATGACAGATCGTCCCCCTTTTTTGCATTTCAAGAAATTTTGGTTGGTTGAAAATCGTGAGTACTAGAAGCATTGTACTATATTGCAAAATTGTGATTTTAGAATTTTTTAAAAATGAATTCGCGAGTATCGGAAATAAGCTTCGGTTGGGGCGGCGAATTTCCAGTTTTCGTAATGGCGCTGGTTCGGGCGTTTTCTTGGCACGTAAAATATCAAAATCGGTAAAATGCCTGGAAAACGTCAGATATTTCGGACTATAAGCATGTGTGTTCGAGGAAAATTTGGGCGTCTCAACTCTTTTCCCCAGACAAATACTTGGATAACATCAAGGGGAGAGAATGCAGGAAATATACTTTTTTAAGATTACTTTGAAAAGGTTTTGTGAAATAGGGTTGCATTTTTTAGAAGTCGGATTGGACAATGTGCTTAATACGAGGGCCGTTCAAAAATTACAAGGACTGTGCTATTATTTACTCTTACAGACGTCATATAGTTATGAAATTTCACAGAAATATGTATCTTAAAAATTCCAATAAATTTTGCCCCAAATTTCTGTATTTTAAAGAAATTCAACTAAAATTATCGGTATATTGATTATGATATCGCTGATAGAGAGGTACGGAGCACGACCAAAAAATTGAAGCAAAAGCATGCAGAATCCAAAATTTAACTCATTAATTTTCTATAATTCGCGATATTTTTCGACAATTTTCTCAAATGTATCTTTAAATTGTTCTGTTATTATGTATTTAGATTTCTGACGCGATATTTGAAGTATTAACAGAAATATAGTGATTTTTCTCTCATGCGATTTCCGTGAAAACGACTGTGAAAATGACGACTCCTGAATTGACGGCGCATTACACTTTTGTTAAATTATGTGTAATGCTCGAGATATGGCCAACATAGAACCAAAATATGCATAATATAACATGTATTAAACTAGGGTATTCGTGACATTCGTCCACAAATAGCAAATTGAAATTTTAGACCGTTAGACCTCTGTAAAAAGGCTATACGGGAGGACGGGAAGAAGATTATCGACGAAAACTTTATCCGGACTGTAAAGAACGTGATTGAGAGTCACCAATACCACACTATATCTCATAAATACCTGCAGTTTTTGGTTTTAAAAATTATTTATTTGTTTAATAGATTTTAAGCTTGATAAGAAATGGTGTTTGGATGTTGAGTAGGTAAGGCAACTCAAACTGTACAGGTACTCTTGGGAAAATGTTGAGAAAATGAAAGCTCAATCACATATTTTTTTTATAATGCCCGTGACGTCGAAGATTTTGCTGCTCCATGACTAAATGATATGTCCTGAAAAATCACTTAAAATTGATACTAATTTACAACATTTTGATATGAAATTTTGAAGACCATATAAGTAAAGATTCTTTTTTATTATGTGTGACATTTTGCTCGATTATGTCGTCAAATATTTTTTCTGTGCAACAAGTCCGCGTAATTTTTGAACGGCCCTCGTATGTAAAAGATATATTTTGACGAATTATCCATAAATGCAGTGCACTTTTGAAGGTATATATCTAGGATTCATATGAAGATTCTGAAATGCGGTTTTCTGTTTTTAATGATTTACACCAGAAATTCTGGATTTTTAGTTTCCTTTGAATAATACATGAAAGTTGATATCGCCCCAGTTCTCTATAAATCATATAAGTACATGCACACCAAGGGTAATTTTACAAAAGGATATGTGCAGAAGATAATACATAATTGTATTATCTTCTGCACATATCCTTTTGTATACCATATTTAGTATTTTATAAAGTGAAGTCAAACTAAGACATGAAATTAGAAAAATATATATATTAATTTAATTCAATCAAACAGAAGCACAAGATATATGTATAATTTCTATTGTATATTATGAAACATTGAGTGTAAAAGCTTTCTGAAAAGGTTGTAAATATAAACTTATAAAATAAAAAGATTTTTTAAACGAGTACTCGACTATCGCTCGACTAATGTCGCCGTGTGGTGCAGTTGATGTTAGAGCGCCCTTAGAGGGCCTCTTAATTGAGTGTGATAATTAAATAGTTGTTATAATGAGTCTAGACGTTCAGTATATGTCATAGTATATGTTCGCAATTTATTGAGGACTGTATACCCCCCCCCCCCCCCACACACACACACACACAACCACTGATCATCATCAAAGTGTTTACAGATCTGACATTCATATAGAATTCACAAATAGAGATACTTTTCATAGGTAAAAAGAGACACTAAAACAAAGCATTATTAAATTACCCCCCCCCCCCTTGATCCACTGAACATAGATCGCTACACCTTGTGTTGCATAGGGGCTTGTCATCCGAATTATTAAATGTAAAATAATTTTTTTAAAAATTTGAATCTTCTTTAAATACACTGAAAAGTTGTTAAAATAAAACTCCCTACACTTTCAGCCAAGAAAAACCACGTTTAAAAAAGACGTACCACACGTAATAGAGTTCATGTATATAGGTGTGGTACGACTTTTTTAAACGTGGTTTTTCTTGGCTGAATGTGTCAGGATCTTTATTTTAACAACTTTTAAGTGTATTTAAAGAAGATTCAAATTTTTAAAAAAATTATTGTAAAGATTTCTTATAATATTGTAAAAACCTAGCCAGGGGCGTAGCCAGGGTACTTTTGATGTGGACGCCTGAATGGGCGGGGGGTTTGGGGCCGCCTTTAAGTCCCCGGAAACTGGTGAATATTCAACGATTTCCATGTGCATATTTGACTCTTCTGATAGCATTTTTCTTACACTTTATATACCCCCCCCCCCCCCGCTTGAAAAGCGGGAGGTTATATAGTAATCGTTAATTCTGATTACATGTAATTAGACTGATAGTTAGCCAAACATCAATATTAAAAATACACCTCTAAAGATTGAAAATAACAAAGACAGAAGAATTCTTTTCAACTCATTTTCTTGCACATTACCTATGTACATTGTATACATTTTGAAATGAATGTTCATAAATAATCACGAATCTGGTATCTTTAACTTTTTGCAACAATTGTAAAAACATGTAAAGTATACTTCTGGTTTTAAGGTAGAGTTACGGATGCTAAAAATACTCGAAAAAGGCCTTATTATTATTTTTTAGGTTAAATTGAATTTTACTAGTTTTTCAATTTTTGATGTTCATATATAAAGCTGATTTTTTTTTCAAATATCGCATTAATCCAGTATTAGTTTGTTTGTTTGTTTGTTTTTTTTTTTTTGGGGGGGGGGGTATCGTTACAGAAATTAAGCATTATGGTTGGAAGTAAATTTCCAGTCATAGAGATTGAAACTTTTGGCATTAAATAAAATTAACCCTTGTTTTAACTTTTAAGGGAGCCGACTGGGGTTTTCTTGTGTGAAATCTACACTAAAGAAAATCTTTAAGAATGTAATTACACTTGGAAAAAAAATCAGCAATATTCGACAGAAAACTAAAATCCGGGAAAATCTTTTGATTACAATGAGGTGTATACTGTCGTATTTTCCCCTAAAACTGACTCTGTTCATTTTCATTTATTTTTTATCGATAATTCCAGTGGCGGATTTAAGGGGGGCGCACCCGGCGCGCGCCCCCCTAAAATTACCAAATTTAGAGTAAATCACAGTTTCATCTAGAAAATGTAAATATGTCTAATTGGTAGACCTCGTTTTTACCCTACAAAATCTCTAGAATCCAGGAGCTGCCGGGACCCCCACAAGGGCTTTGCCCTGGACCCACCGGGGGCCTCAGGGCGGCCCCCAGACCCCTTGCCTACTTTTGGCGCCCCCTCTAACTTGAATTCCTGGATCCGCGCCTGAATTCTACATTGTATCTAAGTATTTTATTAAAGATTATTTACTAATATTGTGCAAAAATGATGAGTACGCTTTACAATATTACACCTGTCTCTCTCTCTCCTCTCTCTCTTTTTTTTGGAAAATGATGTAGACGTTTGTGCGTACAAACGTACGCCTGGCTACGCGCCTGCTAGCTGTCGCTGTATCACATTCAATATCAAATTTTTTACTTAGCCTATTTAATCATTCAAAAGTACTGTTATTGAATAAACCATGTTACATGTTTAAATCCTTGAAACCTCTCGGGGTTAAAAATTATAAACGTGCACGATTGTCCACATCTTCCAAAGTCAAAAGTTTGTGATCCGCTCCCCGCTCCAAGATGGACTGTCCAAAGAACGATTACTCTGCAGTGCGCCGAAAGTTTGCTGTAGGAAAACTTGGTTACAGTGATAGCAAAGGTAATGTATTTTATTACTACTGTAAAATGATATGTAACAATGTTGTAACAATATAACAATTCTTTATTTATACATTATTACCTGTTTGTTAACTTTCGACCATTATTTCAACCACGTATTGACGGAACGCATAACGTTAACGTTTATTCTTGAACAGAGAAAACTCGGGATTCTGCATGTGTCCATGCAACTTTTAGTTTTGAACAAAATACCCGAATTACTAGTGTGTGACACCCGTAAGAATTAAGTCATTTAAAAATAATGATAAAGTAAAACCGACAAGTAATAAAATAAGTGCAGCTTCTTTTTTCCGCAGTAACCCCCCCCCCTTTTAAGGCCCTTTCTCTCAGGTGCCCTGTATCTATACATGAATATTGATTAATATCAAAAGAGCAGGGGTCATGTGTAATACAGGTCAACAAAATTCGCTATACTATTATGTATAATGAAGCAAAAGAAGCGTGAAAGAGATTAAAATGACATAATCATGATAATGTACAGCGTAGTTTAAAAATAACTCTCTAGCCTAACTGGTTCTGTTGGCATTATTATGGAAAATAAACAGACCGGACCAATAGACCATAACAAGAGAAGGCCATGATCCAGCCCTCTATTCAAATCCAATGAATAGCATTCCAGTGTCTTTGTATTTTATGTTGTCTTGTGAAGTCCGAATTTGCATTTTCAATTATTAGATTTTTACGGTGTTCCAAATTTGATTATATGACTAGAGTGTGGAATAATAAATAGAATATCCTTGAAGGAGATAGTGAATTATGTTCCCCAAACGAAGTTGGGGAACATATTGTTTTTACTCTGTTTCTTATTATTATTATTATTTTTCTTCTTCCTGGGTACTTATTTGTCCGGGAGTGATCTTGTAAACTACACATCCGACTTAGGTAAAACCTTTTTAGGGTTAGTAGGCATGTTATGTAGATTTGCGGAACGAAGGTCATTTTGCGCGCACGTGCTTGCAAGAGCGTGCACGTGCAACATGTGAAATGACCGATTTAATTGATATAGGCGTAACTTTTTACATTTTTGATGAAATGCTTTGAAACTCAAGATATAAGGATATATTAGTAGCAGAGACAATATGGCATGGTCAATATCGCAAGATCTCACGCGCATGCACGTGTACTTCGCTCTGATTGGCTGAAACTAAAGTCTCAATATCTTTTTTGTTTTTTGATAAAATCCCTTGAAATTTTGAACATAGCCATACATTAGAATATCCTACAACATGATATATAGCAATTCTCATGAAAACACGTGCATGCACGTGCGCTGCCATCTGATTGGCTTAAACTTTAAATAGCTATAACTCCCTTGATTTTCAACCAAACAGGATGGGATTTGGAACATAGATAGATATAACGGACCTCTACAAGAAGGTATGGTCACCATGCACATGTAAACACGTGCGTGTAAATGTGCTGCAATCTGATTGGCTGAAACTTTAAACAGCTATAACTCCCTTGGTTTTCAACCAAACGGGGTGGGATTTATATAGATAGATGTAATGGACTTCTACAAGAAGGTATGGTCACCATGCTCATGTATTCACGTGCGTGCACGTGAAATGAGTAAAATTAAAATTACACTTGAATGAGCATATTTTTAATACTTTTGTATTAAATACTTTAATATTTAGTATATTAAAATATATACATTCTGTAGACAATATGATATGGTCATTACGCACATGCATTCACTCGCGCACGCGTGCAATGCTAAAATTGAATGAACTTGGTACACTTCTGGGTAAACGTTCTTAAAGTCTCAAATGCATAGAGTTTGTCTTATTTAATGAAGCTTACAGGGGATATGGCACCAAAACGGAGTTGGGGAGCGTTTGGGGAACATCTGTAACGGTCCCCGTTACAATTAGCACTAGTTTTTCTTTGTTTTGGATATAACTTTGGCAGACAAATGAAAGAATAATAAATAAAGGAATTTTTCTGGATGAAAGGAATTAATGACAGTATTATAGTGTTTATTGTAGTGACTAAGTGTCAACACAAAGAAAGAGTGCATATAAAAGTAATGGAAACCTGGGCTGAATATAATAGGGTAGGTGTTTAAACTCGGAGATAGAGGAGCTGATATCTATGGCTTTTAAATTGAACTGATTGATTTTTTAGTGATGAACCATTAGCCAGGGTAATCTTACACCCTGTATGCTTAGTGATCATGGATTTAACCTTTAGACTAGAGGGTTTTGTTTTCTTTCTCTTTTCTTAAAATAGATCCAAAAATAAGTTTATAACCATTTGTTCTTGAGCTTGAATAGAAAGATGTTTTCCTGAATAGGTTTATGGATTAGCATAAAGACAATATTATTTAACTTATTGAAAGCTAATATTTACTATTATTACATGTATTTTTATGCCCCCGAATCGAAAGATCCCAGGGATATATTGTTTTTTTGTCCTGTCTGACTGTCTTTCTGTCAGTCTGTCTGTTTGTTTGTCTGGGTTTTTTTTTCTGTCTGTCTGTTGTCAACTTTAACCTAGCCCATAACCTATTGAGTGGTTGGGGCTATGGCTTTCATATTTCACAGGTGCATTCCTTGTAAGTTGTAACTAGACCTTTCTTCAGGTACCACCAAATTTGACTTCTTGACCTTGGAGTTTCATCTACTTTTACAAAAAATAAATACCACACTTTAACCTTGGCCATAACTTTTGAACAATTGGAGTTAGGGCTTTTATAATTCACATGTGTATTTATTATGACAAAACCTTTCAGCTGGTATAATAAATATTTTGACCTTTTGACCTTGATCCAATTGCAAGAGTTTGATCCACTTTTTTAAAACTTTAACCTTGGTTATAACTTTTGAACAGTTAGAACTAGGGCTTTTATATTTCACAGATGTATTCCTTGTAACAAGACCTTCTTTTAGGTACCAACACTTTTGACCTTGACCTTTTGAGTTTGACATGCATTGGAGAGAATTCAACTCTTGCCAAAAGCTGTCGTACGGGGGCATCAGTGTTTGACAAACACATCTTGTTACAATGGATATTCTGAGCCCATGTGACAGACTTGGAACACTCTATTTTTATAATAAAGCTGGTTAGACCAAGGTATGAAACATTCAGGAATGACTATTAAATACTGTTCAAAGGAGTTTCATTGATATCACATTGCATAATGATGCAGGGGTCCTGCAGGGTTCAATTTCTGGTCTAACCATATATATATAGTTAATACATTCCTCCTTCCCTAGCTATCACATGACTACACACACAATATTAAAATTAAAGCATTCTAAAGACTTTCAGGCACATTGATTTTAATTTATTATTGTATTTCAGGATGAATAGTCACAGCCATGAACAGACTGAAGCAAAATGGCCATAGCAGTAACAGCAGCAAACAAAATGGACATTCCCGGAGTTATCTCCCTTACAGGAAGGAGTTGGACAGTTGTCTGCCCCTGCCCGCACTCTCCTTCCCCGCAGCAGCAGGCATTGTGTTCTTCTGTGCGGTGTCATGTTTTGTAAATAGTTACCATGGAAATTTTGTCTTTGATGACAGTGAAGCCATATTGTCCAACAATGATCTCAAACCTGAAACCCCTCTGTCCGATTTGTTTATGCATGACTTTTGGGGAAACAAGCTGGACTCTAAAACCAGTCACAAGTCCTACCGTCCCCTAACTGTGCTGACCTTCAGGTGGGTCAAGTTACGGAATACAACAGAATTCCTAATTGCATATATACACTAGAATTTGTTTTCCTTATTGGAAAATAAACAGCATACATATTAGTGCTGGGTATCGCGACAGAAAAATCGTATCGCGATATATTGCAATATTATATTTTGTATTGCAATATATCACGATATAAATATTTAATAAATTTTTGCTTTTCGTCAAGGTTAAATGAAAACACAAACTCAAATTACATGTATTCTCGAGTTGATTTTCCAATTGCCTGATCGCATTGTGTCGGCGCAAGTGGCAATATAAGTTTTTTTGTGGCACAACTTGTTGAATTCAGTTAAGTTGTAATACTCAAATTCAGCTTTAACACGAAGGGGTTTCAATTAACAGTTGTCGTCGTTTTGTTTTTGAAAGAGACATGTCTCTGGTTTCTGATCACACTTCACATCGCTTGCCGCCATATTTTACATGTACCTTGAAAAGGGCAAATAACTCTTTTTGTAACTTACAATTAATAGCATATCAAACCCGAACTGGTATTCACAAAAAAATACCACGATACGTATTGTGAAGAATGAAATCGGGATACACCGGTTAGCTGGTAATATCGCACAACACTAATACATATACAAAAACATATATCCAGTCAAATTTCATTATCTCAACTCAACAGGACTGAGATATCTTCAAGATATTCAAGTATTTTTGAAGATATCGGCATGCTTAGTGGTAAAATAGTTAAAAAATAAGTGTCTCGAACTTTCAATCAAATCACTTAATTGACATATCTATGATATTGATAGTTTGAGATATTAGTGTTCGAAATACTGGAGTATGTACCAGTTCAGCTGTATCTGGTACATCTGTGTACTCATTCATAACTTGAAACACCCATTTACATGTACAGTTTTGAAAATAAAATTACAGAATAAAATTTACTCATGTGAAAGAACATGCAGGCTTCAAAACATTTCACTCGGAACAGAATATTCAGATCTACGAGTGGTTTGGTAGTTTGCAAATTGTTTACTATACCTGAAAATGTGAAATAAGAACTTATTATGATAAAATTAATAAATGGTACAAAGTCCTAAATTTAATCATGTTTGATTTTTCTCCAGATGGAATTATTGGCTGTCAGGCGGTGCCTTCCCTATGTCATTCCACATCGTAAACATTGTTCTTCATGGCCTTGTGTGTGTACTCATGCTTATCGTATTCTCATTGGTCCTGTCTGGTTGCCATAGCGACACAGAGGGACGGATTGTGTTTGGTACTCCTAAATCATCTCTGCTGTGCGCGGTGCTGTTCGCTGTTCATCCAGTTCATACAGAATCGGTGAGCGTCTTCAAATAATGTGTGTGTAGGTAGAAAACAACACCGCTAGTCTTATACAGTGTATCCATCCCTGTGAAAAAAAAAATGAAAATTTTAAAATAGAGCTACATTTTTAGAATTTTAAACAAGCAGGATGAAGTGAGTGATACCAATTATATCATCAGAAATTAGATCATATACATTCAAAGTATATATCCCAATTATTAAGTCAAAATCCATCCATAGCTGCCATACATGTATCTTTTGTAATACTCCCATTGATTAGTTACATGTGCATGTAGTGATATCGACTGAGTCCAAGCAATCAAATCTGAATAAAAATACCCTTCATTTTGATTTAAAGACATGTACATGCATCCAATCATGGCAATGTTCTATGGAATTTATTACTGTAAAATTGGTGCAAGTGATCTCTACTGCCTATTGAAATATCATTTTGTTTTCAATAGAAAGTGACATTATTGCTGCCTCTATTATATAAAATTTCATCATAATTGATGTACATTTTTTCCTGTATTTGACAGGTGGCAGGAATTGTGGGAAGGGCAGATCTCTTGTGTGCCTTGCTCTTCATTCTTTCATTTCTTTGTTATGTTCGTTCCTGTTGCCAAGGTAAACTGAACAAAGTTTTTATTTACTGTCAGCAAAAAACAATTTTCATTTTTTAACAATATGGGTTTATATGTAGAGATAACAAAGAATTTGAGAAATATTCAAAAGAATACAGAAGTTATAATCAGACAACCTTTTTCCTTGTTAAATAATTAAAGGTTGGGACAATCATCTAAACTGTGAAAAGGGGTATATGTTGCTGCTTGTAGCTTGACTTCATTAACATGACTTATTTAATTATTTTATCATATTAATTGCAGAAATCTCATCCCGACCCAACAGAAGCCTTCATCGTCCAGAGACCTTCTCTATGGCCTGGCTGTGTCTGTGTTTGGTGCTGTGTGGTCTGTCTGTACTGTGTAAAGAGCAGGGCATCACAGTCATTGTAAGTGGAAGAAACTGGGAAAAAGTGGGGGGGGGGGTTGAATTACTGTAAACCATCTTTTATGCTATCTTTTTTGCTAAGAATATTCATACCACTCTGCATCTGCCAAGGGTTTATGGGGGCAGACTGGACCTAATACCCTAAGCTAGCAAATATGTGTTAGGAAAATGATAGTGTAGTAATGATTTTTGAGATATTCTCAAGTTCATATTAGATATTCATTCTCAAACAAGTCCTTCAATATGTAATGTTAATGCCTGTTATGATTTACTAAATGATTGTTGTAGTGGATCACTGGGTGACATTCAGTGGGCATCACTGTTTGATGCCAAGCTGATTTCATTGTCAGTTGAAAATCCAGACTTAAGATAAAATGTTTTTATCTTTATATATATATAAAAATTTTACTGTGTGTATTTTTTGTAAATAACAGGAAAGTTTGGTCATAAATACATGACTGAAATAATCTTTATTTTAGGGTGTATGTAGTGCATATGACATCATCATCATTTGTAAAATTGATATTTTGAAATTCCTCGGATTGAAAAAGTCTGGAATGAATGCAAAAAATGATGCCTCTAGATCTCCAAGCAATATTGATCAGGTTTGTTTGATTTATTTTCATTTTCTTTAACACATGAAGTACATGATTATACAGTCAAACTTCATTAACCTACCAAGTTATTTACACAAAATGAGGATAAGATTTCCAGCTCAATATGATTTTACCAATGATATTCAAGATAACAAGGTATGAAATAGCGAAGTTCATCTCTATTTCCTATTATCAAAGTCTGTGACCAAAAAAATTATTTACTAACTTTTATCAATATCAAAGCTAAAAATCAACTATTAGCTTGCCTAATAAAGATATTCCATAGTTGTTCATTTTTTTGTTACTTACATATACAGTTCAACTCCCATATCTTGGATATGTAATTTGTAATTTGAAGTACCCAGCCACCTATAATTTAACTTTTTTACCCTTGATATCTTGAAGTGTGGGATATTTTAACAAGGTTTGACTGTAAACACATGAGATAAAAACTACAGTGTAGATGATGGTAAATTTTTAGTAGTGCACATATATACTTATTCCTCTTTAAACCCTGAATATTATATAATTCCTTTAGAGGCCTTCAGGAGAATGGTTTAAAAGTCTGTTTGTGCGTCATGTGTTCCTGGTGATCATTGGTCTGACCATTCTTGTCACTAGATGGCGTGTCATGGGATCAGCGCCACCTATATTCCAAGTGTTTGATAATCCACATTCCTTTGTAAATAATACATTAATTCGGGTAAGTATTGAGTAACTTAAAAATTTATCTAACAATATACAGTGAATCTTGAGATATCTGAACGCCAGATATCCAGATGTTCAGTATCCATCCAATTTTTCATCGGATAGGAATTTTTTAACGTTATATTATCTTGTTTAACTGGTGATTCAGGTATCTTATCCAGACAAATTGTTAAATAGGCTCCACTGTGTATGTATATTTTTCACATGAATATTGTGTTAATTACATGAATATTTTTAATACAGATTTATGTCTTACCTTGGGTACTTTCAGGCCTTGAATTACAACTATCTGTATGCCTTGAACTGCTGGATACTTGTCAATCCCTGGTGGCTGTGTTTTGATTGGTCCATGGGGAGTGTGCCAACCATCGACTCTGTCTCAGATCCGCGTTTATTGGCTGTGATAGTCATGTGGGTGGTGCTTATATTTCTTATATACTCAGCTGTTATTCAAGAAGTTGGTCAGGAGCAGAGGTAGGCAGCATAATGGCAGTATAGTATGGTCACATTCAGCATAGCAGTAGCATATTACTTCTAACACAAATACAATCGGTATAGCACAATATGGAATATAAGTCAATTAATAAATCAGTTCATCCACTTAATTCATTAATGATGCCTTGATTATCGTTAGGTACATACAGATACAATTTGTATCAGGATATGCAATACATGTATCATGATACAGTTGTCTACAACTGAATAAACCTATATGATGATATCTTAACTAATTTTTGTATTGTTTATCTTCACAAAAATCACTCTTCTTTGAATGAAGTAGTTACATGTATGTACTACTATTATGTATGAAAAGAGTATCATAATTATCAAAGTAAACTTTAATATGCTTATGATGAATAAATGGGCCATTAATATTGACATGATTATGTTTCTGTATTGTAGAATGCTGACTATGGCCCTAGCTCTGTTAATCGTCCCATTCCTGCCAGCCTCCAATCTGTTTTTCCGTGTGGGCTTTGTCATTGCCGAGCGAGTTCTATATTTGTCCACAGCGGGATTTTGTATATTGGTTGTCATGGGAATCAGCAAGCTTCATCAAAAATGTCCCAGCATTGTAAGGTTTTATTTTGCATAAGTTTACTATATTCTTTATTAACAAATTTTTATTATAACAAATTCATTATATATAAAGTTATCTTGGATAATATAAATTAAATGATTTTTAATATGATAAAGTTCCAGATATAGCCATGTAATTGTACATGTATCCATTTACAATTTTTGTTATTCACTGATTTATTTGGATATCAAAAGTGATTAACAGTTACTGATAAAATTGCATGTTCCCTGATATTTTTGTATCTGTTTACAATTTTTGTTAAGATGCATTTAATTTCAAGCAAAATGGCCACTTTTTAGCCCATCTAGACCATTAAGGGTTCAAGGGAACTATTCTGATCTGCATTGTTCGTGCATCTAATTTTCAGGGCTAAGTCTGTTATAATGTATTTGTTTACAAAGCTGTTCTCTATTTATTTATGTTAAAGCTACATTTAGTTATGCTTTATTTCACAGGATATTCGTTACTTTGTGTTCTTCCTGGTTTCCATATTTATGCTGAGATCAATTCAGAGAAGCAATGAGTGGAACACAGAAATGTCTCTGTTTACTTCTGGTGCCAAAACCTGTCCTCTAAATGCTAAGGTAGGTTTATACATCAAGGGCCAAAACTTGTCCCCTAAATGCTAAGGTAAGATAAATGCAGCAAGGGCCAAAACCTGTCCTCTAAATACTAAGGTAGGTCTTTATAGCAAGGGCCAAAACCTGTTGTCTATATAGCTACATGTACATGTTTTGCTAGGTTTATGAGTACTTTTAAAAACCTGTTGTTTAATACAGTACTGTACATCTTGCTGTTTTCATGGTACAATTTATATTACAGGTAGGCATATACATATAGGAAAAATAAACTCTAAATGCAATGTAGGCTTATACATAAGTAAATACAGATTGGCTATCAGGTATGTTTTTAATGTAATGATCCATGACCATCTAATACTTGTGTGATTATTCATGGGCCATATATTATCTCTTTAATGTACTGATATATGTAAGGGCCATATTTTGCCCTTTTATGCTGAACCCTACTATGATGCAGCAATGAATAACCTGGGTAACTTACTATGGACTAAGGAATAATTTTATAACAGGAACCAAAAGCTGTTATCTAGTATGTAGTCATATATTTTGCTACGCCAAGCTTAAAAAATTCTTTGTTTGCAGTTGCAGACTATATTTTTAGACACAGCAGTATTTTTTTTTTTTGGAAAAAAAAAATTGTCATTTTTTGTTAGATAACATAAAATAGAGTTTTTCATAGACCTACTATAAATCAATAAGCTGCACTACTCTTGGTATAAACTAATGATTGATGAAGACAAAAATTGAATATGAAATAGTTTTAATATCCTGAAAATTTGGAGAAAAAAAATATTATTACAAAATGGCTTAAAAAAAAGTTTGGGTCGGGTGCATTTTCAGTGGGTCGGTTGGCAACTGCAAACAAACAATATTTTATTTTAGACCCTATGTTTGAAAGTAGAAAATTTATGCATACCTGACATTTTACTGTTTTCATGGTTCAATTTACTTTACAGATACATTACAATATAGGAAAAATAAACTCCGATGTAGGCAATGTTTGAAGCAATAAGTAAATACAGATTAGCTATCAGGTATGTGTTTGATGTAATCATCCAAGGACATCTTATACTTATGAGGTTATTCACCATGTATTATAATAATCTAATGTACTGATATATTAGGTATATTTTGATGTTTCAGCCTGAACCCCGACTACGACCAAGCAATGAATAACCTGGGTAACTTACTTAAGGATCAGGGACAGAACACTGAGGCTGAACAGTTGTTACGGAAGGCTGTAGAGATAAGGTGGGTAGAGAGATGGTCATTGCAAACTGATTAGACCACAGCAGTATTTGCTTGTTCCCTTCTTTTTGAGCTGTCAATGCCGGCCTGTACAGTTATTTACAAAGTGGAGAGAGGGAGTGGGGAGGGGGGGGGGGGGTAGTCCACATAGATCCCCTGATGAATGCCCTTTGCCAAAATAATCTAAGAAGGAAAATCCCATTTCCCAGAGAAGAAGGAGTGGGTTTGGACCTTCTTCGAACTTTTTGTAGCATTTTTCTTTATAATTCTGGAACTCCACTGTTTTACAATGCTGCAACTAAATATTTGGGGAGCAGATGTGTCATTAAAATAAATGGTTTGCAAATTTTGAGTTTTTTTTTAAATTCAAATTTAGGGCATGCAAATAAAATTTCAAGATATGAGGGGACTGACCAGAGATGAACAGTCTTTCACAAACAAGTCTTGTTCGTTTTCTAGACCTGATTTTGCTGCTGCTTGGATGAATCTTGGTATTGTACAGGCAGCCCTGAAGAAACAGAAAGAGGCAGAACAGAGTTATCATACAGCACTCAGACATCGCAGGAAGTATCCAGACTGCTACTATAATCTAGGAAACCTTGTAAGTGATTTATGTACTGGCAGACAGCCTTAAATTATTATTCCTGATAACAGTAAGGAATGCATATCTATGTTCTGTTGACTTGGTCTCATGTTCTGTTTTTTAAAGATATTTGTTAAAGTAGTGAACTTTGAACTTAAGGTAGATGGAGCCCACAGTAAAGTTTGTTTTTCTTTCCCTTTAGTATCTGGACATGGGACAGCACCAGTCAGCCCTGAGTGCCTGGAGAAATGCTACCCTCCAAAGGCCAAGCCACCTTAATGCCTGGAGTAATATGGTGATCTTGCTGGACAATCTGGGTACTAGACAATATTAAATTGAAACCTTAAAGGAAATATGTGTCAGATATTAACAATGGCAATATGTAATAAAGATTTGTTTCATCAAATTTCATTCAGTGGTATGAGAAGAGTTGCGGATAAGAGATGGGTACCACAAAGAGTAACAGACAGACATACAGACAAACAGCTAGATGGATGGACATAACGATTACTATATACCGTCCTGCTTTTCAAGCGGGGGTATAAATATTTATTAACCTCCATTTGTGTATGATAAAACTTTGTGAAGATTAAGATGTTGCAAAGAAGGCATATTTTACAGACAATGTTAATCATGTGTTTCATAATTTTAAATGCTCAGAATACCAGATGTTCTTTGAGATTAAAAAGAGAATTTTGAAAGAAGTAAAGTAAATGTGATGGGGTTTAGTAATTGCAATAATTTTATTACCTGGAAGAAAACTTCTTTAATTATATATCCATGTAGATATTAAAAATGCCCAAACAATGATGTGTCTTTGGGCCAAAAGGTTAAAGGTTACAATGTCCAAATCATTTAGCAAATGGCCATATATTTATAGGGGGAAATGACGAGACAGAATTTGAGTAATTAATCATAAAGTCCAAAAAATTGGATAAATGCTCTATTTATTACTTTAGTAACATGTGTGTATTTGACATTTTAAAATTGAAGTATGTCTTCAGTTAAAATTAATTTTGCTGTCATATAATTGTAAATTATTTTAGGAAATATGCAATATATTTTACAATTGTCAATATTATACTTTTTTTCTTGTTCACAGTTTTCAAAGAAATTATATTATTTTATTTTTTGATATTCATTAACCGAGTTACTGTAATTGAAAATCCTCTCATGCAGAGAAACTAGAACAGGCTGAGTTGGTGGGCAAGGAGGCAATCAAGCACGTCCCAAATGACCCCACCCCCTACTTCAACCTCGCTAACGTCATTGGTAAAGCCAATCGCTACCAGGAGAGCGAACAGTACTTTCTAAAGGCTATTCATCTCAGTGGAAAATCTCCAGCAGCCAAGATGTATGCCAACTTAGGTAAGGCCATGTACATGTTACTAGTAAAACTATGGCTGCTAAGTTTGTAAATTATGACTTTCAATAATACGTGTAATCTTTGCTTATTTTGAAATACAGTTTAGCTTTTAGTAACTCAGATACAAATATTTCAAATACCGTACTAAGATATGTCAAAGTGATTCTGAAGTTTCAGTTGGTCCTATAAAGTTTAAGATTAATACAAGGTTTGACTCTGTGAGGGTACTCAGTACATATGAATTGAAATTCTTGTATTTGAAAATGTATCAAAATTATTTTTACATTCACAGGTGTACTTTATCATCGCTGGGAGAAACCAGTCGAGGCAGAGAGGGCATACCTAAAGGCCCTGGAAATAGAACCAGCCAATCAGAGCGTTCTACAGAATCTACAGATGTTACGTCGAAAATACAAGAAAGGACAGTCCTAGCATAATGTTTAGCTTGTTATATACTACAAAAGTGTGACTCAAATGAAGTATCCCTGTGTGCTTACATAATTTACCCAACAAACTACTGTAGATGTACTTTTTTCCACGGGGTCATAATTTCGCAGAATCTCAATTTCTGTTGAATCCGCATGTAGATAATTATGCAGATTTCCTAGAATGTATTCCTATATGGCTTACATTTATGTCAAGTACCCTTGGATTTCGCAGAAAATTTGTGACCACGTACATAGCGTAAATTAATACCACTCAGAAAAAAGTACTTATACAGTATTATAGGAAACACTAGAATTGAAAATTAATGAAGATGATGCAAATATGCATCGTCAGAAACCCACGATGATGGCAAGTATCTGGCCTTGTCTACTAAAGCTGATGGCAATTAGATGTCAGCTTCTGTCAATGATTGGAAGGGCTGCCATATTGACACAAACTTAATCTACATGTACTATATAGTAGCCAAAGCATATCTGGTATTACATTTTTATATGCAAAATTAGGTAGTAGTGAAGACATAAGAGGAGATAAGATCTATAGTCACTTTTTATATAAAAATTTTCGTTCATTTCTTTTTTTCCATATCATTGATGTGAAGTTCAATTTGGTCAGGCTTATTGAATTTTGTGTTTGTAAAAAAACAAATTTATATGTGTCTTTTTTTAGACAGGTGCAATTGTTGGGGTAAAAATGTATTTGATCTCTTGTACACTGAAAAAAAAGTGATTAAACCATATTTGGGACACTGTACACCAACTATCCCAATTCAGGTATATTTATGCATCAGCATTAATGATATTGACTTTATAGTGTAGATAACTTAATTTTGGTGACACATTATTTTTGTGAGATTGCTTTCCGATATTTATAAGCAAAACAATATTTTCATTAATTTTGGTTATTGCTCTCTTAAATCTTTAACAGAAGATTTATATACGAGAATGAAATTTTCGCAAGGAGACAGTATTGCATAATTACCTGAAAATGAAAAGTTCACATAAATAAAAAAATGATTTACATTAATTTGAAGTGATATATCAGAGCATTAGTACATTACATTCCAAAAATACTTTCATAAAAGAAATGTCTTTATATGAAATAAACCTACATGTATAATTTAGAAATGTTGTTGAGAAAAAATGCTTTTTAGAGAGTTGTTTAAGTTTTTCCTGTTATTTTAAATATGATCTCTTTGATGTTTGAAGAAGATACCAGTTGCATTCCATTTTTTATATACATTTACATGAGTGGTTGTGGACATACATATAATACATTTATTTTTCCTGTTTTATTCTGCTCAGAGTGCTTTTTTATTTTGGGTAACCATGGTAACAGGGCCTATTTGTTTGATCTTGTTTTGCCTATTTTTTTTCTTTGTTGTTGCAGCAGTTGACTATTTTTTTTTTCCATTTTGCATAATGTCAAATACTTAGCAATTACAGGACATAAAGCATTTAGAAGTCTTGTATAGCACTACTGTTTTATAAAATTATTACATGTATTAAATAGCCATAATATTTTTGTAAAAATATATTGACAACCATTCCTAAATAAATTGATCCTTGCTACACATTTTGGAGTGCTCATTCTGCTAATGCCGGTTGTTCAAAAGTATTGGTAATTTAAGGCACGGAAAGTTAGTTGACAAATGGCGTTTTTCTTCATAATGACTACACTGTTAAACCAGCATGAACATTGTGGTATTTTATTTAATGTCACGAAAAAACATTTTGTATTTCAACCAGTATTCAAGAACACTTGATATTTTCCTTATTATGATTACTATGTACTCTCCAAGTTGTGTATAATTATATTTTTATAATGATTATATAAATCATTGAGTAAGTATAAAAAACAAAATATTATAATTTACAAACGACATCATACTGCCAACTAACTTTTATTCTCGCGCTAGTAATATTCGCGAGTTTTGCGGTCTACTTTATATCGCGAATATTAATAGTTGTGAACCGATCACTTTGCTTAGTATTTGTAGAGAATGTTTCCGAAGTCAAGAAAATTGATCGTCGGAGATTGATTTTAAACCGATGACTCGCGAATAAAATATGCTCCGAATAATAGATAGTTTACAGTATTCTACGTATTAATGGGCTGCATTGCTCAATTCGACAATTCTAGCTAGATTTTTGATTTATAAAATAATATTAATAGTAACCCAAACTTTTAAGGTGTTTATGCGTTAAATTATCACGCGAGCAAACTGAATGATCATCATAAAACGAGACAGTTTTACATTATATTTACATTAAAACTTGATCCATGATTTAATAAAAAAAAAATTATTCAGTTATAAGATTAACCATCCTGTCCAGGTGTATATTTATTAAGGAACAAACAGCAAGAAAGCATTCAGTGCTATCATATGCTGAGCAAATCACTTTATGAGGTTATATTTACATCCACTGAATATTTTCTTCTTTATTTCTTAAGAAAACCCATTGCGTTCATCACTGCATGAACTACATTAGGCATATCACCTGTACATATTTCTTGATCAGTGGCCGTTCCATCAATGAAACGTACAAAGACGTTCGCATCATTAACACAATAATTAATATTTTTAATCCTACTTAAAATGATAATTTAAACAGATATAAATATAAACAATAAAATGTCTTTCTTTGTTTGTTATTAACGGTCGCAGCTATTTCAGAAAAAATTTACATAACCCGCTTACGCGGGTTATGTATTTTTTCTGCAACAGCTGCTTCCGTTCATTCCAGTAATAACAAACAAAGAAAGCATTTTATTATGGAACGCCATCACTGCCTTATAGCATACAACTATGCATTTATTATGTCAATTTATCATTACGTGATGTGAACATATCTTTACGTTATGTCCATTTTTTATGATGATGAAAATATATCTTAACATCATGTCAATGCTGCATTACATGAAGTAAATACATCCTTTCATTATGTCAGCACTTCATAACTTGAAGTAAAAAAATTCATTATGTGAAGTGATAATGTGTTTACATTGTGTTAAAACTTTATTACGTGAAATGAATATTTCTTTACATCATTTCATTTCTTTAATATGTGAGGTCAAAATTGCATTACGTCAAGTAAATTGTGTTTTATAATCAAACTTATCATCACATGAAGTCAAAAGCCCATTCCTTTTTGAGAGTGTATATTTCTATTATATCAAAGTATTATTACGTGATATGGATTTATCTTTATTTTACGGCGATGGCATCATGATATGAGGTGAACACATCTTACCTTTATGTCAGTGCTTTATCACGTGGTGTAAAAAGTGTTTAACATAATGTGAACATATCTTTATATTATATCAACACTTTATTACATTATGTCAAAACTCCATACCGTGATGTGGATATATTATAACGTTATGCCAACTCTTTCTTATGTGATTTAAAAATATCTTTATTTAAGAAATAAATAACAAGTTTATAAACTTCAGGAATTGATAAGCAAATCCTGTGAAGGCCGAAGGCCTTCTCAGTGATTTTATCAAGCACTAATTCCCAGTTTATAAACTTGTTATTATATAACTTATATATACATTTGAGACAGACAATTGAATATTTTCGATTTTAAATTATTGCACTAACCGTCCGTCGTAGATTTTGAAAAGTGACGCAAGGCGTAAATCGGCTTGTATGGCGGTTACGCTTCGAATTTACATCTATTTCGAAGGGAATATTCTGTGAAAGGCTACTTGTGATCAGTAATAGTGAACAGATTGTTGTCTGGGAATATTTTTATTCGTGAAAATTGATAATCGATGCTGAAAAGACACAAGAAACACGTCCGAAGTTTGTTGATAAAAAGTTGGAGGAACTTCGGTCGCCGGAAAGGGATGGGTGGATCCGATGGATTGAGACACTTGTCCGACCAAGTTAATTTGCAGTTTGATGAAAAACATTCTACGATTTCAGTAACTAAAGGCATACTTACCGTAAAACACTGATAAACACGGAGACACTGGCGACAGCTTTACATTGAACTACGAAAACGCCGAGGTGTTTGGCAGCTGTTCATGGCATGGTTGCAATGATATTTTCCAAAGATTTACACATTTATCTATATATATATATATATATATATATATATATATATATATATATATATATATATATATATATATATATATATATATATATATATATATATAGCCAAAAACTGTGTGAAATACTTGTTTACATTGTAAATAAAATGATTATCATTTTACTTGCTTATTTTGTTCATTTTTATACATGAAAAGCAAGTAGAGCAGGTCATTTTATAATTTATGTACCGGTAGATATTATTGCGCCGTGTGATTAGGTCACGTATTGACCTCTGACCTCTGACAAACTTCATACAGAATTGAAGATATTTTCTCTCTGTATGTTTATATATATATATATATATATATATATATATATATATAAAAATACATTTACATTATCTCAAAGCTGTATATCTAGTATATAATAAATGTTGACGACCGTGTTTTAATGACTGCGCGCTCGTGATTGATTAGGACAAATTACAGGCACATAATATCAACCCCCCTCTTTTCCCAGACATAACTTTACTATAGAAAATGTAATGTTTATTGAAACTGTACAGCCCCCCCCCCCACTTCTTGTTGAAATATAGTCCACTAAGGGTAATATAATATATCTGGAAAAAGATAGGATTGGACATTTTTTTTTCTTGGCTTGTCTAGTTTTTTCGGATAAATGATTTTTTTTACTGGCTGACCTCCTCTTTCAAAAAAATGATGCTACGTCACTGGAGTTAGTAATTTTTTTTTTAATGATTCCAGGGCCAGAATTCTATTACAAAAATCTACCAGTCGCTCATCTAAATAAAATGAATATGCCTTAGTAAGCATGCATGGGCACATATCAGTGGCAGATATGGGAATCTTAAACAAGGAAGGGGGGCGGTATATGGTTGGAGACCAAGGACGGAAAGCGGAGAAGCTCTCAGGCTTTATAGTTTTATAGAAAAAAGTTTTCAACTTAATTCAGCTAAACTTAATGTGAAACTAATGCAATGTCCTACAAAGTTTAAGACTTTTATTAAATAAAACAAAAAAGAAAATTCAAAATAAAAAGAAAAAAATGATTGCTGCACGACTCATAATATTTGATTTATTTAATTATCAGATTAAAGTAAACACCATTGAATTTCGACGTGACTTTAATTCACAGTCGCAGTGTTAAGGCTTTGCATGTTTCAAGATTGTCAATCATTTGTCGCTTAAAGTTTTCATTTAAAGATGTCATTCCGAAATCGCTGAGAATCTCTTCTACGACAGTTTTCTCTCCCGCCATTTAAGTGCTTGCGGAACGCGGAAAATACGTTATGCTCATATAAAGGCCGAGGATACCCACGTTCGCATAACGTAATAGTGAATCGACATAATGTAGAAGAGTGCGCACAGTATGGCATGAGCTTTTCACATCAGTTAATAAAAACTAAGATTGTCATGAAAAGTAAACATAACGAAATGCAAGTTGACGAAATAAAATTGTAGTATGTGTAAATGTCATAAAGAGTTGATATAATGTAAAGGAAAGTTAACACGATGCAATAGTAGTGTGGGTTAATGTCATAAAGAGTTGACATAATGTAATGGAAGGTTGGCACAATGCAATAGTAGGGTGGGTTAATGTCATAAAGAGTTGACATAATGTAATGGAAGGTTGACACAATGCAATAGTAGTGTGGGTTAATATCATAAAGAGTTGACATAATGTAATGGAAGGTTGGCACCGGCAAATGGTGGCGTCTCCATACGAGTGAAAAATTCTCGAGAGGGACGTTCAACAACAATACAAACAAACAAAACAAACCTTAATTGAAGTTTTTCTCCGACAAAGACATTGGAAATATAAATATCGAAAAAACGTTTTATGGAAACTGTAAATTAGTAGTGTTAAAACATGGACTGAAATTATTTGGATTAC